ATAAAAAGATGTTGTGTCCACCAAAAACTGAAAAACAAATATTAAAAAATTCTCTCTCTCTCTCTCTCTTCTCTTTCTCTCACTTAAAAAAAAAAAAAAAGTCCTAAAATTCACATGGAAGAATAAAAGATCCAGAATAGCAAAAGTAGTACTAAGCAATAAGAGTGACCTCATCTCAATTTATACTACAGTGGTATAGTAACAAAAACATCATGGTAAGGGCACCAAAACAGACAAGAGGACCAGTGGAATATAGATTGGAAGACCCAGAGACATTTGATCCTTAACAAAGATACCAAAAACATATGTTGTAGAAAAGATAGTGTTTTTAACAAATGGTGCTGGGAAAACTGGGTATTCAAATGTAGGAGAAAGAAACTAGATTGCTGTCTCTCACCCTGCACAAAAATCAACTCAGAGTGGATTAAAGACCTAGGAATTGGATCAGAAACACTGAAACTGATAAAAGAATATATAGGGTCATACTCCAACATATCAGCAGGTACCAATTTCCTTAATAAGACTGCTAAAGATCAAGAAATAAAATCAAGAATCAGTATGCGGGATGATATCAAATTAAAAAGCTTCTGTACAGCAAAGGAATCAAATAAGAAAATGAAGAGAGTGCTTACAGAAAGGAAAAAAAATCTTTGATAGGTTACTATTCCAACAAGGAATTAATATTCAGAAAATATTAAGAAGTCAAAAAGTAACACCAAAAAATCAAATTAAAATGTGCATATAAACTAAACAGAAATTTCTTAAAAAAAGAAATGCAAATGGCCAACAAATATATGAAAAAATGTTCCAACAGTATTAGCAATGCAAATTAAAAGTGCACTGAGATTTCATCTCACTCCAGATAAAATGGCAATCATCAGGAAAAGAAATAACAGTAAGTTCTGGTGAGGATGTGGTGAAAAAGATACACTCATACACTGTTAGTAAGACTATAAATTAATCCAACTTTGGAAAGCATTGTGGTGATTCTTCCAAGGATTAGGTATGGAACCACCATATGACCCAGCTATCCTACTCTTTTTTGTTTATCTAGAAGAACTGAAATCATACTAATAGTTTACAAGCAATTCATAGCAATATTTTAGCAGTAAAATTCCTGAAAGTTTCTATGTGATCTTTTTTTTTGGAGGGGGAAGGTTAACAGAGATTGAAATCAGGGGCAGCACCATACCACTGAGCCACATCCCCAGCCCTACTTTGTCATTTATATAGAGATAGGGTCTCACTGAGTTGCTAAGCACCTTACTTTTGCTGAGGCTGGCTTTGAATTCATGATCCTCCTGCCTCAGATGCTGGGTTACAGGTGTGCGCCACCGTGCTCGGCTTTCTATATAATCTTCAACTCACTTAAAATAATATAGAATAATTTTTAAAGAGCACTAAATTATTATTTGAAATGAAGTAATCTTTTATGTTGGTTATAAATTACTGAGACTTCATATACTTTAAGCAATGTTTTATCATAAATTTATCTCAACAAAACATTTTGGCATTACTTTTTCAGAAGTTCTAAAATGAATCCATGCAACTTAGTTTTTTAAAGGAAAAAAATAAGTTCAAGTGGTTAGGTTAAGGAAGTTGCTTAGTAGTTAAAAATAGCTTTGCCATTACAAAGTCATATAGATAAAAATGTGTATAATATTACTCAATATTTCATGTGCTTTTGGACATAGCTACTTTATTTTCTTTAATTAATTAATTAATTAATTACATCAAATTAAAAAGCTTCTGCACAGCAAAGAAAACAAAAAAATGAAGAGCAAGCTTACAGAAAGGAAGAAAATCTTTGATAGGCTATTATTCCAATAGGGAATTAATATCCAGAAAATATTAAGAAGTCAAAAAGTAACCAAAAAATTAAATAGAAGATGTGCATATGAACTAAACAGATATTTCTTAAAAAAGAAGAAATACAGGGCTGGGATTGTAGCTCAGTGGTAGAGTGCTGGCCTAGCATGTATGAGGCACTGGGTTCGATCTTCAGCACCACATAAATGTAAAATAAAGGTATTGTGTCCACCTAAAACTAAAAAATAAATATTTAAAAAACAAAGAAATACAAATAGCCAACAAATATATGAAAAAAGTTCTAAAAGTCTTAGCAATGCAAATTAAAAGTGCACTGAGATTTCACGTCACTCCAGATAGAATGGCAATTAATTAATTAATTATAATTAGGTATCTTGGACAGCAGAATGCATTTTGATTCATTGTACACAAATGTAGCACAACCTTTCATTTCTCTATACAGGATGTAGCATCACATTATATGTGCAGTTATACATGTACCTAGGGTAATGATGTCCATCTCATTACACCATCTTTCTTGCACCATACCCCACCCCACCCTCCCCTTTACCCAAAGTTCCTCCATTTTTCTCATGCCCCGCCCCCTGTGGATCAGCATCCACTTATCAGAGAAAACATTCAGACTTTGGTTTGGGGAGATTGATTTACTTCATGATATTCTCCAGTTCCATCCATTTACCTGAAAATGCCATAATTTTATTTTCTTTTAATGGTGAGTAATATTCTATTGTGTATATATACCATAGTTTCTTTATCCATTCATCCATTGAAGGGCATCGAGATTGCTTCCACAGATTAGCTATTATGAATTGAGCTGCTATAAACATTGTTATGGCTGCATCACTATAGTGTGTTGATTTTAAGTCCTAGGAGTGGGGGATAGCTGGGTCAAATGGTGGTTCCATTCCAAGTTTTCCAAGGAATCTCCTTACTGCTTTCCATATTGGCTGCACCAATTTGCAGTCCCAACAGTAATATATCAGTGTACCTTTTTTTCCCCACATTCTCGCCAACACTTATTGTTGTTTGTCTTCATAATAGCTGCCATTCTGACTGGAGTGAGATGATATCTTAGAGTAGTTTTGATTTGCATTTCTCTAATTACTAGAGATGGTGAACAATATTTTTATTTTCTATGAAATGTAGAATACTTATTTTTATAGATACTATACTGAAAAATTTGTTTACTTTTGTGAGTATTCTTTCTATTAGGTACCATATATTCTTTGGTTAGTATTTCTTGTTTTTTTCCAGATACAATATTAAAATAATGATTAAATTGTGACTTGTTAGCTACACTATAACTTCTTAAATGTCTTGCTTTCCACTTAAAGATTTTTCTTGTAAATTGTAGTCCATTAATGTCATTCTGAAACCAGCAAGAATAAGGATAGCAGGACTGGCATCTACTAATAATGAATTGTTAAGGATTTATGCACCTTGATCCTTTTTCTCAGAAATAGTTTCTTTTCTTGCAGTTAACTCCTTCAGGTTTTTTACTTCTTCTGCCTAAATATTATTTCATAAATTATACTAGTACTTGAGTATTGATATAACTTGAATTAGTGATTAGACATACAATATTGTTCTGATTTTTGTAATCTCATTCTCTTTAGTCTCAATTTTTTTCCTCAAATTTAAATACCATGTTCTAAATTATATTTAATTTTAGGTCTGCCATCTTTTTAGGTTCAAAATAGTCACCCAGCTATTCTTAATTTTTAGTTTTGTTGTCCCTTACTACACCTCCTTATTTTTTTAGGCATCAACTTTATGCTTAAAACTTTATGACATAAACTTTAGACCTCTTTCTTTAGCCATTTTAACTTTTAAAAACTATACCTGTAGAGAAATGCATATGGCTTATACATACATGTATATAATCAGTGTAACTGATTGCAATCAAGATATAGAACATGTCCATCATTACAGAGGTTTCTTCAGTGTGCCTATTTAGTATCATCTCTGATAAGAAATACCACTGTTATAATTTCAGCTACTATGTATTAGTTTTTTTTTTAAAAGAGAGTGAGAGAGGAGAGAGAGAGAGAGAATTTTTAATATTTATTTCTTAGTTCTCGGCAGACACAACATCTTTTGTTGGTATGTGGTGCTGAGGATCCAACCCGGGCCGCACGCATGCCAGACGAGCGCGCTACCACCTGAGCCACATTCCCAGCCCCTATGTATTAGTTTTTCTTTTTTCTTTTTTTAATATTATAAGTAGAATTATACATTATGCTTCTTCTTTTGTATGTCTGACTTATTTCACATAGTAATGATTTAAATTTGTGTAAGTAGTTGGTTCTTTGTATCACAGCAGTTAATGCATTTTATGAGTATACTATAACTTCTTTATCGGTAGGATCTCCTTATGTATATGCTCAGATCATAGACCCTATCTTATCAAGAGAATCTATGTTCAATGTCTTTGACAAGTTTATTATCCTTTACCAAAATGGGAATCCTTCTAAATGATTAATTTTGAACTCCTTGGCTCAATTGATTCGCTAATAAGTGAACATAATACTCTATCAATTCTAAGACATATTTTGTTTTCACATTTTTATATCTCTGGTGTTGGTAAATATAAGTTATAGTGCCTTAAAATTACTATCAGCCAGGTGGTAGACCTTAGTGGTATGAACACCTTGTATTGATACTTCTGTTATAAGAAAGTAACAACATCAAAATGACTTTGATTTGATAATAAGTATTTTAAAAAAAAGACTGAAAAATTTGCCTTGCATAATTTGTGAATTTGTTAATGTTTTCTTTTTATTTTTAATAAAACTGATATTTGACTTTTAAGAAGATTTTATCATTTTATTTATAGATATGGAAATATTGGGAATATGTTAAATTGAAATATTATATTTGACTTTACTGGATCTGTATTTAAAGTAGATTAGTACAAGCCCATTAGAGCCTGTATTAAAGCTAGAAAACTTGTTACATCCTTTAACAATAATCAAATTTTCATAGTATTTCCTTATATATTAGATATATTTATGTGCTACCCCAGCTTCTCACTTGTGGTCTTTTTTTAAAATAAAGTTTTAAGTCCAACTTGTTAACAGTATTACTCTTTTTGTTGTTAAATTTGAATCTATTTTCTTTTTTTGTTTTTCTGCTAAGTGGGCAAGCTAATCTTTTCAAGTTAAAAAGTGAAGTAAACTCTTTTTAAGATCTTACTTTTAATCTGGCTGTGGTGGCACACACCTGAAATCCCAACTACTCAGAAGACTAAAGCAGGAGGACTATAAGTTCAAGGCCAGTCTAGGTAACTGAGGGAGACCCTGTCCCAAAAATAAAGTGTGAAAAGGTTGGGAATGTAATTCAGTATAATACCTCTGGGCTCAATCCTCTGTATAGGGGGAAATAAAAGATTTTGGGTTTAGGCTATATAGTAAAAACTCAATTAAAAAAAAAACCTGGAAATATCAAGATTGAGGAGAGAAGGGAGAGTCAAGGTCAGTGGCTTTCTTATGTATTTTATTTATTAGTGTCTGCCATTGAGAAAGGCCAGGCAGTCTTTTCATTGCCTTTTGAGCATCTAACCATTTTATCAATCTCTTTTTTAGACCCAATAGACCTATAATTAAACAGTAATTTTTCTCTTAATTTTAAGAGATGAAGGAAAAAAATTTTAATTAGTCTGAAAGATCTTTTTAAAATCAGTTTTTGAAGAGGCCTTTAAAAAAAAACCTTTTTCCCATTTGAAATTAGCACTGCAAAGACATGGTAATATATATTTGTTTTATTACATCTGAATGTATAAGAAGTCTAATTTCATATATTTACATTGATTTGCTGAATATAAATGTGTGAGTAGTACACACATTTCAACAGTCTTTTTCTCTCCACAGATGGCTTAGCTGCATTGTCATTTTCCATTAGTTCTCTGACCTTGATCGGAATGTTGGCAGCTATAACTTATACAGTAAGTGTAATGGTGTTAATTGAGTTAAAATTAAAGATTCACCCTATAAAACAGCTTTTTTTCAACTTAGTAATCTATTTAACTTAATTTTTTTTTCTTTAATGTTTTAGTTCTTCATTTTTTCTTCAGTTTTCTTAAGAGGATGATAAAGTTTGAACCACTTGGTCACAATAATTTTATCTGTATTTATAAACTTTAATATTCAGAAACAAATTTTATTATTGTGAACCTTGAAGATGGTTATATATTTTACAATACTATAACTCTGACCTATAGATCAAGATCTATTACTGATAAACTGTCTTATTTAGGGATGCAGAGCTTTTAAAATAGGCTATTTTACAGCATGATACTTTTCTAGTATAGAAAATCTAATATTATATTATCCAACACTTTATTTTTTGTATTTCTAGAAATGACAAGGTGTGAATTATAAATGATTTCCAAATTTATATACGGACTGCTCTTTGAGTCTTTTGCTCAAATTATAGAGGAAAATTCAATAAGAAGTGCTCCTTTCTTACCTTCCAAAGTTGTAGAAGCAGCATTAAAATTATCTTGGACCTTTTTAGATTAATGAACTTTTTGTTTAGAGCATTTTTGGTTCCTACAAAGATGAAAAATACTGTTTATAAATACTTTTGGATATTTTCCCAATATGTCTTCCTTTAGACATAAAGTATAGTATAATAGCAATCTGTGTTACATGCACATTTTATATGTCATTTTGTATAATAAAAGAAGTCTAAAAGACATGCATTTTAATATCTTCCCAGTGCTTATATAGGTATTAAGTTTTATTATTTATTAGTACTTTTCTGTTTTTATTTGTTGGTACACAGGAATTTGCCATTTCTTTTAGTGGATGATTATCCTCCCATCTCACTAAATGTATGTAGAGGATGTTAGTTGTCATTTAAGAAGCAGTCACAAGTTAGAGGTTAGACCTGGAACACAAATTGCTATTCTCTGGTTTGTTATGCTGATCTTGGGTTTGTCTTTTACCTTTCCTTGGTCAGTGTTTTATCTATTCCATTGGAATAGGAAATATTTCAAAGGGATTTTTTGAAGGTCAAATGATAGATCCTGTTTATAAAGCACTTTGATGTCTATAGGGAAATTTGATAGCAGTTATGGAAGATTAGCCAGGAAAACCAAATGGAAAAGGAGAAAAACAACATGTAATTACACTGTCAGTAACTATAAGGAACCAAGTATGATCTCATAAGCCTATAATCTAGAGACTTAGGAAACTGAGGCAGGAGTATTTGCAAGTTCGCCGTAGCAAGGCCTTAGCAACTTAGCGAGACCTTGTTTCTAAATAAAATATAAAAATGGGCTGGGGATGTGGATCAGTGGTAAAGCACCCTGGGTTCTATTCCCAGTACCCCGACCAAAGAGGTAAAAAAAACTATTAAGGATCTAGAATTTTATTTTATTTGTAGCCTGCCAAAGTTTTATGGATTGTGATCAAAGATGCAAGACTTCTTTCTGAGTCAGAAACAAAGACTTTTCTTATTCACAGTAATAACACTAGCTTTAGAATTGGAATTTTCTTATTCTGTTTTCCTGAGTCCCAATTCCCACGAGAATTGTGAGTAGAACCATAGGAAACCTGTATATAGTGGGGTGCATTACAAAAGAGGAGCTCTGAGCTTAGGGAAACTAAAGCTTTTGTATGGACAGTAAGCATGCCTGCCCCCACCCCTTTTTTTCCCAGAGGAGGATATTATGTCCTATACAGACATTATTGAAAAGGTAGTACAATGCCTGGTTGCAAAATGTACAACAATTAAAGACCCATTGAGAATTCTTCCAAGGGTCAAGGAATAGATGCTACAAAGAATAATAAGCAGCCTAGGGGATTAGATAATAATAGAGGCTAATGTTACTGTAAAGGTCAGGAGTGCCTTTTCTAACATTTGAACAAAAGACCTAAATAAAATGAAAGCAAGCCATGATAGAAGATTAAGTGCAAAGATCCTGAGGTTTGTACATGTGTTCTGTTAGAGTAGCAAGGAGGCAAAGCCCTTGTGGCTGGAGCTCAATTAACAAAGGAAAGAGGAAAAGGTGTAGATTAGATGTTGTGAGAAGTTAAGTAGTCGTAGTATAGACTGTGGTTAGGATTTCAAATTTTATCCGGATTGAGATTAGAAAGCCATTTGAAAATTTTTAATACAAAATAAAGGGATTTGTCAAACATTTTGTTTTAATTTTTTTTGTAGTTAGATAATAACTTTATTTTATTTTTATGTGGTGCTGAGGATTGAACCCAGCACCTCAAACTTGCTAAGTGAGCACTGTGTCACTGAGCCACAGCCACAGCCCCTCTCAAACATTTTAAAGGTATTAATCTGCTGGCTTTGAATTAAAGAAGCTATCTTAATGGAGAGTAGAAGTGGAAAAAATGATTGAAATTATCAAAACTATTTGAGAGAGAACTTTTCCTGTAGGAACAATATTACTGTAGAGATAAATAGTTTAAACTAACATAATGTTTTGTATTGTTCAAATTAAAACTTTAAAAATTATCATTTAATCAAGTAAACCACATATAATAATCATGCTGAATTAGTTATCTGTCTAAAAGTTTTGGCTTTTCTAGAATACATAGGGCTGAGCTTAAGGACATTGATAAAATGATCAGAGGACATTATGATGGTACTGAGGCTAAGAACCTGCAAGATAAGGAAGAGTTGCTGACTAAGTAGAAAAGACTGCTTAAAGCCTGATGTTAAGGAAGAGATTGCAATGGAATAGGACAAGATCAGACAACCTAGAAATTATGTTTTGTTGTATGTGGCATAGCAACAGAATCATGTACTTAGTGGAGAGACTTAAATGTGGATCTCAAGTTCTTGGGTTCCTTGACCTATTTTACCTACCAATTTTTGTTGTCTTTAAAATAGAATTAATATTTAAGTAATAATATTATTGGGATTTATTAAACAACCCATCAAGGATTAGAATCTAAATATTTGGTTTTATTTGGATCAAACTATAGTTTCTACTTCTTTTCTCTCTCAGTGAAAGTCAACCAGATGCTAAAAACAATTATATCATGATTAGTGAAAATTGTGAATTATTCAAAGATGAGTAAGTCAAAGAGGCATCCGTAATTGAATGATAGTTGGAATTGGTAAGGTGTGGATAGACAGATGAATTTCATTTAAATAGCACTTCAAGGATGCTCAAAGCTTAGTAAGAGAATGTTTTGCTACTTAAACTTTAGTTATACTTAATTGAAAAACTTATACCAGGGGCTGGGGTTGTGGCTCAGCAGTAGAGTGGTCACTAAGCACATGCAAGGCACTGGGTCCGATCCTCAGCACCACATAAAAAAAATAAATAAATAAAGGTATTGTGTCCAACTACAACTAAAAATAGTTTTTAAAAACTCATACAAACTTTTATAAATTAATTAATTAATTTATAAATTTATAATTTATAAATAGGTGGTTTTATTATGAATAACTCATTAGTATTACTAATTTTTATATTTATCTGAAGTTCAGATGCAAAGTTATCTCCTAACTTGTTATGGAAAAGCTTGAGAATTGGGCATTTCATATGGCAAGAAAGAGGGTATATAGTATATGTTCATGAGGTACATTTTAACTAATGTACCCAAAGTGGGAAGTTAATACATAGAGTATTTCGGCCCTATATACAAAGACTTACTTAAACCTAAAATCATGTGTGTGATGGAATTTGTTATTTTTTTGCATTGGGACTAGAGAGACTTTTTACGTTATGTTAGTCAAGTATGGATTTCTCAGAGATATATATTATTGTTTAGTTTGGAAGCTACTTGATTATTTAAATTATATTTAGTTTCTAACCTCTGTACAGTGTCCTAAAGGATAGTCAGGCAATTGGGCATTCAGTTTTAGGAGAAGAATATCCAACAATATATTAGCTTGCTTATTATTTTAAGCTTAAACCAAAAAGAAATCTGATACTGCCTAAACTTAAAAAAAAAAAAATGAAACCTCTAGGAACAAATATCTTTGTAGGTATTTTAATTTTTTTTTTTGGTGCCACCAAGTGGGGAAATGTTGAATAATGATGTTTTCATGCAAAATGAATTACATGGTCCAGAGAAAGGCCCCTATGAGAGTTTAGCAGATACAGCTAAACTTTTTATTATATATTCATGTTAGTAAAGCTTTTAATATACTCTCCAAGAGGTTTGTGAATTACAAATAAATATTATTATCCTAATCAATGTACATTTAATGTAAAACAAACTAATTGAAGTGATAATTAAAGACTCAAATATAGAAATAAAAAGTTTTCTTCTTATGCTCATGAAAATTTGTCTTAGTTTGGTCTGCTGTAAATGTACTATAGACTGGGTGGCTTAAACAATAAACATTTATTTCTGACAGTTCTGGGAGCTGGGAAGCCTATCATCAAGAAACCAACAAATTGGTTATCTGGTGAGGGTTCACTTCCTAGCTTACAGTTGGCTGTCTTCTCATTATTCCCGATATAGTAGAGAGCAGAGAGAAATATCACAAGCTCTCTTGTATCTGTTTTGTGTCACTAATCTCATTCATAAGGGATCCAACATCATGATTTAATTACCTCCAAAAGGCTTCAAATACCATCACAATAGAAATTAGCTTCAACATGAATTTGGGCGTGGGGGTAGGGGTGAGGGTAGGGAACAAACATTCAGTCCCTAGCACCCTATGAACTGGTGCAGTGGTTCTCAGTAATCTGGAGATAGAAATCCCCTTTAAAAATCAAATTTGTCACCTTTCATGTGACATCGTATGTCTTTTAGTCTGTGATACTTATTGGAAGATGCACCATTGTTTTAAGTGCATTTTTACCATTAAAGGAAAAATCCTTGGAAATAATTTCATTATTAATATTTTTCTATATTCAGTAAGAGAAGCTTCTTTGTCTTGTGTAGATACTTTTTATAAAAATCACATCAATCTTTGCAATATAACAAGGAAAATACGAGTGAAGGAAATTGGAAAGGTATTTCTAAAACTGCACATTTTCTAAGAAATTGTAAATCATTTTTTGAATTGGTTATGATGTTCTTCTTAACTGAACAGTGCAAGAAGATATAAGAAATGTTTGTAGTTTGTATATGTTATTTTAAAATATTTCTGTTGGCATTTTATTTTTGGAAGTCAAAACAAGATAAGAAGCAATAATGGCCAACCTAACCTTTTAAACTGTACAATCTTTTTACCCTTTGTTGATTTTCCAGAAATTCACTAGAGGGCAGTAGTAAGTAATAAAAATTTGGTTTTTGAAAAAGTGTTTTAAGTACATTTTTTTCCCCACAGAAATTTGAGGTTACATTCGAATGGTTGTTATTTAAACATGTTAATTTTTTTCTATGTTTATTTCCAGCTTATTAAAATCTAAATAGTATAAATTTCCTGATAATCATTGAAACTTAAACATGCAATCTAAAAACAAACTAAACACTTGATGAAAAATCAAAAGATTATTTACTTTTATTTGCTATATTCAGAGAATTATGGTATAGTCTGGTCTCATGTTACTACAAGTTGTTACCAAGGATGTATTTTCATTTTCTAATCTTTTACATTAAGCCATTTAGGAATTTAGTTCAGCTCTTTTAGTAAATATATCAATTTCATGCAAGGAAATAACTTCATGAAGAATTAACAGTTCTCTCTTCTTAAAATAGTTTTAGTCAGATATTATCTTCTTACAATAATTATTTTATTAATAAACATTTGTTCTTTGAATAACAGTAGAAGGACAAAGAATTGGGACCTACCTAGTCTTAACAAACCCAATATTCATTCTCTGGTTGCTAACTAGTTTGGGTCAGAAATTTGATTAGTCAAGTTTGGCAGATCTAGTGAAAAACCAAGTGAGCAGACTGATAATTGTTAAATATGTGTTATGTATTGTAAGCAAGTGACATTTACAAATCGAGGAACTTTTCTCAGACACAGTATAAGTAAGCTGAAACCTGAGTGCATTCAGATTTACTAATGAAGTAAGTTAAGAAGGTAGGCATAGAAGAGAGTGCTGCATGTATTAAAGTATGAAGGCCTGAAGTATTTTAAAATTAGAGTGGTTTAAGAACTATGGACAATTGTGAGGCTTAAGGTAAAAATTTCTCTGACAAAGTAGCAGTGGATCACTCTGTGGCTCTTGTCTTTCATACTGGCCATGGGGTCATCTTCCCAAAAGGTGCTTCTACTAGAGCACTTTGAAAAATATCCTTCCTTTTCCTGGAAAATCTTAAAGGATACTAATTAGAAGAATGACATATTCTGAATTGGGTGTTCAGAGTAAGATCATTTGGAAACAGTATAGAAGATGTATATGTAGAGAGTAAGAGCAACAGAGAAAATAGTAGATGACCTTGTATTTAGATGACCTTTTATTTGACAGTGGATTATAAATAAGGGCCGTGTTGTTAATATTAGTAGACCAAAAGATTCTACAGAAACAGTATTGAGTACTGAAGTTAGTACATTATAGGATTCAAATCCATTCAGCATAGAGTTGGGTTAAGCCTAAGAAGTAGCATTTATCCTGAGTTTGTGTGCTCAGCAGAAAAAATGGAACAAATTTAAAATTATATTCATGTATCTGCTTTAGAGCCTGTCGTTGCAACCAGCAGGTGTTTCTCAGTATTTCTTCTAAGAATTTAAAGTCAATCGATTCTGAACCATGGCTATATGGCAAATGACATTGACTGTTAAGTTAATGATTATAATAAAAAGTTATTGAGACTTTTTGGAATTGAGTAGTATATACAATAATATGTTTATTTTTAATGCTGACTAAAAGTTAAAAATTACTTGTTGGAAAATATTTAAAATACTTAGTAAAAAGATTGGTTATAAATAGGTAGAACTTTTATTAAACAAATTGTCCATATAGATAATTGGTATACTAATGAAGTACTGTGTATATATTACTATACATATGTTTTTCTAAAGATACATTGTATGTGCTTGGAGAAAATTACTCTTGTTTTAATAGAAAATAATTTTATAAATTGTTCTCATTAATTCATCCTATCATAATTTGATTAGCCTAAAGTTATAACTTATTACTTTGATAAAGTATTATATTGACATTAAATGTGCAACTTGTCCTTTGAGGAAGGAGTAATATGTTATCACATAACTGCATAAATGTAAGTGTAAAATAAACAAGAGAATTATAATATGATCATGATTCACTTCCTTAAAGCATATTCTTCAGCGACTGTACACTGCTACTACTGCTCACTTTCAAGTTATTAAAGGACATGTTATTACCTGAAAATTGTGTTAATCTGATTGAAATGAAATTATTAAAGCATTTGAATTTTGTTTATTTTAGGCCTATGGTATGTCAGCATTACCTTTAAATCTAATAAAAGGCACTAGAAGTGCTGCTTATGAACGTTTAGAAAACACTGAAGACATTGAAGAAGTGGAGCAACATATTCAGACGATTAAATCAAAAGTGAGTTAGTGTTTTGTTGTTACTGGGAAGCATAAACTTACTTTACCTTTGAGCTGCTTTCTGATGTGACTTTAATATTGGGAAACACATATATTTTTATATTGTTTGATAGCTTTGTAACATTCTTCAAGAACTATGTGTCTATTTTGAAAATTGATATCCTGTGTAAGGTGGGACACTGGCAGTTTTAGAATTTCTATCAATACTCTAACAATGAAGAAACAAAACTACATATTTATGATCAAGACCTTTCCAGTTCTCAGTTACCCTTATTCCATATGTAACATCATATTTTACTGTGTTACTTATGTTCAAGTTTTGTGTACTTAGTTGAACAAGCTAAAGAGTACATGTAATCACTTGCCAACCAAATGGACTTCTAAAAATATAATAATTTTTTCTTCCTTTTTTACCATCAAATAACACATTAATTTTAAAGAGTTTAGGAAACATGTTGAGCTTTCTGAATTAGTCTACTAACCTAGCATGATCCTGCTTTAAAAAAAAAAAAAAAAGCAGACAGTAATAGCACCCAAAAAGGAAAACCACATACTCTCTTTCATATGAAGGTAGAGGCAAGTATTTTAATAGAAATATAAATATCAGCAATGCAAAACCTGTGCTGTAATAAAAGCTTATCATAATGATCAGGCTGTATTTATCTTAGAAATACAAAGATGATACATTAGAAAATACATTAAAGTAGTTTAATATATTGAGACTAAAAATAAATAAACATCTTAACAGATGTCAAAGAATAAATTGGTAACAGTCAATTTATAGTTATGATTTTTAGAAAGCAAAAAAAAAAATATCTTACCAAATTAAGAGAAGAAAATACTAAATCAAGGAATCCTCTGATGAGCATCATACTTTAAAGTGAAAGAAACATTCCCAATAAAGTTATAAACAGGGCAATAATGTCAGTATGATTGCCACTCTTTAGCATATTCCTTGAGATTCTAGTCAAATTAAAGGAAATTTAGATAAGAACATTGAAAGAAGGAGAGGAAAAAAAGGAATTCAATCTGTGTTGTTTGCAGATATCGTCTACCAAGACAAGTGAAAGAATTAACTACAAACTACTAGAACTAATAAGAATTCTTCAAATTGTCTAGATACAAACATAAAAAATCATTAACCAGTTAAATGTTGTTATAGAGAATTTTCCATAATAGCACAAACTATAAAATATTAAGAAATGTCAACATCTACCTGATGGAAATTATAAAATTTTCTGAAGTACATAATAGGAGATTCAAATAAATAGAGAACTTCATCGGTTTGTAATTGGTTAATTCAATATTATAAATATATTACCTGAAAATTGTTTTTTAGTAATTTTGGTATAAATAATAGTCTATATAATACAAAAATTAAATTTTCATAAAATTTTATACCATCTAAAACTGTATTCTAAATCCAAATCAAGTATAAAACTTATAAAACACTTTAGAAAGTATGAATTTATCTTGGTGTGGAGAAATCCTTTCTAAAAAAGACACAAAACCAAGTTGCTAATTAAGAGAAAATTGGTGAGTCTTCAATTTTTATGTTATGAACCTGAAAAGGGCACCTAAATGGACGTTAAAAACCAATTGTATGGGAGAAACTCTCAACACAGATGGTAAAGATAGTAAATAAAAGGACAAGCACTGTACAGAAATAATGAAAGACCCAAAGGTAGTTCACTGAAGGAGAAATTAAACTGTTTAGTAAAATTATAAAATGATGTTTTAGGTAAATAGTAAATAGGAGGTTGATCAGGTGTCCCAGTTACCTGGGACCCGAGGACTTTTCCAAAATATGGGACTCTCAGTGCTAAAACCAGGAGAGTTGGTAACCCTAGTAATCAAAAGTATAGACATTAGAATGATTTAATATGTATTTTTTAATCATTCGAAAGTCTTTTAAATGGTTACCTGTGTCAGGAATTGATGATATTTGGGGAGGTAATAATACTGTTTGTGGGAATATGAGACATACAGCTTTTTAAAGAAAATGAAATGTTGTGATGCCTACCTGTATAATCAAACATACAACTTTTAAAAATTTAATCTAACAGTTTATCTATAGGAATCTATGTTTGCTATATGTACACATTGGTATGTAGATATATAGGAAACAACCTTAGTATTAAAAAATAAGGTACTTATTAAATTAAGACACCATGCTGTAATGTGCTATGTAGTGATAGAAAGGAATGAGGGAGATTTATATAGCTTGAAAAATATGTCTTATAAAACCAGATTATCTCAGTTCAAATTCAGATAGATTGACCAAAGAAAGCGTTACTCATTTGCAAGTATACTTGGACAACAAGGAAATGCCAACTCTTAGCAGTTGTTATAAAAACTCCTGCATGTGACCTATGCATGATATTGCATCACTCTACTGATATTTGAGGTGGGCTGAGAATCATCAGTTCAGGGAACACAACCACTAAACTAAAGGATGGGAAGGGGCAGGGCCAAATATATTAAAATAAGGAATGGAGGAGTTTGGAGGTGAGGAAGAATAATTACAGTATATAGTGGTTAACAGTTTTTTTAAACAAACACCTTTTTAATAGGGTATTTTTACAAATACGTATCTTTTTTTTTTTTACAAATACATTTGGAATAAAGGAACAAGGAAAAGATCAGTATTAAATGTACACACATCTCCATTTTCATGCTAATCTTGGTTCAGAGACATTTATTGTTACATTGCATTTGTCAATTTTATTATTTTTGTCAATTTGCCTAAGTAGTGTCCAAGCTAAAAGTATTTTATTGCCTGATTTGCTAGATCTGGTGGATGCTTTATTAAGACCTTAATGGTGGGGAGAAAAAAAACCACCCCCAAACCTTTAATTTTGTTCTGTTATTTGCAGAGTAAAGATGGTCGACCTTTGCCAGCAAGGGATAAACGTGCCTTAAAGCAATTTGAAGAAAGGTTACGAACACTTAGGAAAAGAGAGAGGCACTTAGAATTCATTGAAAACAGCTGGTGGACAAAATTTTGTGGTGCTTTGCGTCCCCTGAAGGTAAATGGAGTTTTTAAAAAAATGATGCTGTCACTCTTCTCTCAAGTTTTTGTAGTGCCTCTTAGAGATTGAGTTCTTCTATTGAGGCACTATAGCATGATATTTCAGAGTATGGATTTTGGTGTTCAGATAATCTGGTTTTTAATCGCAGGTTCCTTGCTTAAGTCAGACAAGATATGAACCTCTCAGAGCTTCATTTATTTCATGTGTAATATAAGTATTATAATCGAGTTATTAGGAAATTTAAATAAAAATAAAGGTAAATAAGAAATAAGCTGTTAGCATATTTTCAAGTTTGTAGTTATCTATCAGTAGGAGACCTGAGAACCACATTAGAACAGAAGAACCCTAACTGAAAAATAATAGAATTTGCCTCATTATTAGATTTTAGATGATATTTCTGAAAGTATGTAAAAAGATGTTATTGAGATAGAAAACCTTTTTATTTTCCTTTTTTTTTTGTTTTTCAGGGGCGGGGGGAGCCATTGTTTGCCAGCCTTGAATTCTTGGGATGTTAGTGCCTAAATTTAAGTACCTAGATTGAATTAAAACATTATAATATGACTTAGACTATAAAGAAACTAAAACTGCTGTCCACCGACTTCCAAATTTGCATGTTATATATATATATATATATATGTGGGGGCATTTCAGAGACCAGAATTTTATACCATAGTATGTAAGTTTTAATTCAGAAAGTACAATGAAAAGACTCAGATGAAGAATGTAAGATGAAGCTAGAAGGTCCATTTTGGTTAAATTTTGAAAGAAATGTTTCAGAGTATTTCTATCAAAGACAAGTGAGTCTTGTTTAACTTTGTTGCTACTGTTCACTCTTTAAAAACTTAAAAAAAATGCATTAACTGCTTACCCTTTTTAAAACCTCCTTTTTTGAAAGAGTTTTTAAAAAATATACTATAATCATGTAATTCTATGTAACCTCTTTTTAAACCTTTTGTTAGAAGTGTGTGTGTGTGTGTGTGTGTGTGTGTGTGTGTGTGTGTGTTTTGCTGAGAATCTAACCCAGGACCTAATGCATGCTAGGCAAGTGCTCTACTACTGAGCTATACCTCCAATCCAAAATAAATTGTTTAAGGACTCACTCCAATCCTTTTTCCTAAGATAATTTGTCTTCATAGCAACAAAGGTGTACAAAAGCCTCTCCAACCCTTATTTTAATTCTAGATTCTTTATAATGTCTTATAAATATTCATATCCTTATCTCTGTCATCAGCTGCCTTCTTTTAAACTTCTGTTTCATTTCACTGAGCATATGTTTAGAAGGATTTTAAAATCAACTTTATTAAGTATACGGATTGATTTTGCCAAATATAAATGTATAGATATGTAGAACATTCACATCACCCCCAAATTTCTACCTTCTCTTGCTCCTTGAACTCAGACTCCAGGTAATCACTGGTGCCCTTTCTGTCATTAGAGTTTAGTTTTATGCATTTTAGAATTTCATATAAATGGAATCATGGGATATAAAACTTTTTGTCTAGTATCTTTGGCACAGCACTGTAGTTTTTAGATTCATTCACAGTACTTCTTTTCTTTTGGTGGTCATTCCATTGTGTTGCAGAGTGGTATTCTGATATGTACCTGTATCACAATTTGTTTATCCATTAATCTGTTAGTGGATATTTTGGTTGTCTACAATATTCAAAGTTTTTTTTTTTTCCATTTGTTTCCTTTCCTCTTTCTTTGAATCCCATGTTTTTGTTGGTTTGCTGATGATGTTCAAACATCTCTCTAAGACTCTGTTCACTTCATTGTTCCTTCCTTATGTACTCTCAGTTGATTTCTCTTCAAATTGCTAACTCTTCTGATGCTCAAATCAGCTGGTCAGTTCTTCTAAAGAACTTTTTTATTCAGTTATCATTTTCCATTTCCAAAATTTCAGTTCACTCTCTTTGTTAGTGTTTTTAAAAATATCTTTATTGGTATTCTTTATTGCTGACACTTCATTTTGAGACATGGCTTTTTAGAGTTTTCTGAATATATTATTTTAAAGCATACTTAAAGTTTTTGCCTCGTAAATCTAATGTCTGGGTTTCCTAAAAAATGTCTGTCAATTGTCCCCGAATCCATGCACTTTTGGTTACCAATACTTCATTGTTTTTGTTGTTAACACTTAGAAAGTGTTAAATAATATGATAACTCTAGAAATGTTCCCAAGGGTTTATTGTTACTATCCTTTCTATCATTATTTGTTTAGTGACTTCTCTGGACTGTGTAAAGTTTCTATTTTTTTTTATGTGACCACTATAGTCCCTGCTCAGTTGGTTTGTTAATGATTAGATATAGATTTTCGTAAACACCTGCAATCAATAAGTCTCTCAGTCTTTAACAGAGATTTTCATGTGTGTTAGTACACTACTTCAACACCCAGGGAGACACTTTCCAACTCAACCTTAGCCTTCACTTCCTCCTTGTACTCAGTGCTTGTCAGAGGTAGATTTTAGTCCTCAGATCTTTTCTGGTCATGCACAGAGCCCTGAGCATACACAAGACCTTCTAGATTCTTAGAGATACATCAGAATATCTAAAATAGCTATTTTTTAAACCCCTTATTGATATCTCATTTCCTAGGCTTTTGTTTTAATCTTTTTGGTTAGTTTAATTTTTCCATTGTCCACTGGCTTTGAGGTCATGAAGTTCATAGATTGCTTGCAAATTTTTTTGGCCAACACTCCTTTGAAAAGGCTTTTAGCCTCATGTGAACACCAGTTTAGGTCAAATACAAACAGCCTTGCAAGTGGGGGCTTCTAGAGAAACACACAGGCCAAATAATGACAGTTCTTTGGGAGTGAGACTGTAAAAAGTGTCAGCCCTTTTTGCTTCCTTATTTGATTTCTAGGATGCTGAATTTTATGGCTATTTTTCAAGGCTGCCCTGGTGATACAGTAACAGAATTGGGACTAGAGCAAGTTAGAATGTCATAATGTTCTAGATTCTGATATTCAGCCATTTTTCTTGAATAAATGCTCCTATATTGCTGCAAACCTTTGGTAAATTTCCAGAATGTTGAAAATGTTGATTCTGATTATTTATGCCAGTTTTCTTAGTGCTTTTATGGAAGAGGAAATTTTCAGAGGTTCTTACTCTTCTGTTTTTACTGTGTTACCTTTGTAACTTAGTTTTTATTTCAAAATTGACAAGATTGCTAGAATATACATTAATATGTGTTCAAGGTTAACCCAACATGATCATCTCTGAAATGATTCCATAGGTACTAACTTGAGTTCTTATATTTAAATATACATAGTTTCCTTGGTCTTTATAAAGTATTTATCCTTTTTTAACTTTTTTTATTAGTTGCTCAAAACATTACAATGATCTTGACATATCATACATTTGATTCTAATGGGGTATGAATTCTTATTTTTCCTTGTGTACAGATTGCAGGATCACATTTTTTTTTAACATTTATTCTGTGTTCTTTTAAGTGACCAATTAAACAATTTAACTCTGGTTTCTGTAAGATTGGGAAGATAGCTAAGGATATATTGTATTTTTTACTTTTTTGCCAAAATGGAAATCAAGGGAAGGGAATTTTAACTTGATACACTTCTATGTCATGTTTCTTTACTACAGAGTCTGGCAGGTATACTGCCTTGTGTCACTAGCTATTTCTTATTAACAGACAATTAGGAAGTAACATATTTTATATATTGATCTTTAGTTTTCACCTAGGTGTCAAATATAGGAGCTGGAATCTGATAGAGGAAAAATGTGTAACTAGTAAACTATATTGTAATGAATATATTTTTGCTTTTAGATCATGTGGGGAATATTTTTCATCTTAGTTGCATTGCTGTTTGTAATTTCTCTTTTCCTGTCAAAGTAAGTACAATACACACATTTTTTATTTGTTCTTTTTAGATATACATGACAGTAGAATGTATTTTGACATATATACATAGAGTATAACTTATTCTAATAAGAATCCCATTCTTTTGGTTGAACATGATGTGTAGTTACACTGATCATTTATTCATATATGAACATAGGAAAGTTATATTCAATTCATTTTACTGTCTTCCTTATTCTGTCCCCCTCCCTTCCCTTTATTCTCCTTTGTCTAATCCAGTGAACTTTTGTTCTTCCTTCCCCCCACTAATTGTGTGTTATCATCTGCATATCAGAAAGAATATTCAGCCTTTGGTTTTTGGGGACTTTTTTTTTTTTACTGAGCATGATAGTCTCCAGTTCCATTCATTTACCTGGAAATGCCATCATTTGATTCTTCTTTTATGGCTGAGTAATATTTCATCAGGTACACACATTTTTTAAAGCACTTATGCAAATTCTGTGGTTTAGATTTTTGGTGTTAAACTCCATTAGTGTAGCCTGTTCATTTAAAATAGCTATTTTGACATGAAATATTCTACAGTAATAACTCAAAGAATAACTGAAAGTTTCAATAATAGACATTATTTCTTTATTCTGTATCAGTTGAACAATATCTGTGAGATGTTTAAGTGAAGCTTAATTTGTTTTCCATGTTTTTCTTTGACTCAGCTGAATTTTCATGTTTAAATTATAAGATATTCTTTCTAGATCAGTTAAAAATGTGATAGTAAAACACAATTATCTTCTTTATGATTTTTTTTTCTTTGTTTTAGTTTAGATAAAGCTCTTCATTCAGCTGGAATAGATTCTGGTTTCATAATCTTTGGAGCTAACCTGAGTAATCCACTGAATATGCTTTTGCCTTTACTACAAACAGTAAGTAGAGCATCAAGTCATTTTATGTTTCAGCAAACATTCTGATACTGTTAAATTTAAAGTTAGTATTCTGAAAATTTGTTAATACTTTAACATACATATGTTCTCTGCTAACTTGACTTTTTATTTGCATATAATTTCAACATTAGAGTGTTGTTTTAAAGACTATTTTATCAATATATTGCTAAAGTTTTAGTTGAACATAATTTGATTTGGGGTACATTATGTAAGGTGAACTTTTCCAAATAATTTTTGTTTTTAATTTTTAATAAATTCTTTTAAGTATATAAATGTAATTTGATGCTTAATTTTTTTAGTACTTTTCTTAGGATAATCATACTAAATAACTTAATAATACTTTGTATCTTTGAGAATTTTTATGTTTTTTTTATTGGTTGTTCACAACATTACAAAGCTCTTGACATCTCATATTTCATACATTAGAATCAAGTGGGTTATGAACTCCCATTTTTACCCCAAATACAGATTGCAGAATCACATCGGTTACATATCCACATTTTTACATACTGTCATATTAGTGGCTGTTGTATTCTGCTACCTTTCCTATCCTCTACTATCCCCCGAATTTTTATGTTTTAATGGTATTGTAGTAACCTAATCTAAATCAGAGTTGACATTTTAAATATTTCTCAAATAAAATAATTCAGTTTTTAGTTAATTTTATATGACTTCTAAAGATTTCATAGTTTGTATATTAAATTTGATTTTATCTTTTTCTAGGTTTTCCCTCTTGATTATATTCTTATAACAATTATCATTATGTACTTTATTTTTACTTCAATGGCAGGAATTAGAAATATTGGCATATGGTTCTTTTGGATTAGAGTAAGTATATATTGCATTATTATTTTGATGTTTTTCTCATTATTTTATATATGATCTCTATTTTTACAAATTACATTTAAAATATATGTGTTGTATCTTGATACTAAGAGTAATGGTAATATTAAACTTTCTCACTTCATGTTAACATATAAGTGTTTTTGTGTCTAGAGCAGTACTTCTTAAACACAAGCCATTTTGTCCCCCTTCTCCTGAAGATATTTGACAATATCTAGAAATGTTTTTAGTTGTTAGAAGCTAGGGAGTTTTACCGTCATCTTTGAATATGGCCCAGACATGCTGCTAAACATCTTGTAGTAAATAGCGCACAGACTAATCCTGCCCAAATGTTAACAGTGCCAAGGTTAAGAAAACCTTGTCTAGAAGATACATTGTTTTCCTTGGTGTTTTGCTGCATGGAAACATACGGATGCTCAAAAGATTGCCTTTCCTATTAAGAGTTATAGATTATTACTGTCAGCCCTCTGTATAAAAGCCCTTGTGGATTTAATCAACTATGGGCAGAAAATGTTTTAAAAAAATTTTAAAAAATTGCATCTATACAATATTTGCAGACTTTTTAATGTTATTTTTCCCTAAATAATATAGCATAACAACTATTTTTGCAATGTGTGCATTATATTAGTTATTATAAGTAATCTAGAAGTGATTTAAAGTATATGGGAAGATATACAGAAGTTATATGCAAATATTTTTCCATTTTACATAAGGGACTTGAGCATCTATAGATTTTGATATCATAGTTTGTCTTAGAACCAGTCCCACATAGACACTCATGAAGGACAACTGTACGTGATTTGTAATTTCTTCTTACACTCATTTTGAAATAATTTGAGAATTTTAAAATGAAGCTGATTCAGGTAGATACTACTTGCAGCTATGAGTAAAAGAAAACCCAGTTCATTAGTGATTTTAACGAATGCAAGACTTCTTATTATGAAGGTTATCATATATTTAATTTCCCTTTAGTTTGGATACATGTGAAAATGTAATCAGATTGTCATAAATTATCATAGACTACATTTTGTAGCAGAATATGATATGAGGATGTCATGAGTATTTCATAGAAATTAATATTTATAAATGAGACATGTTTTTCTACAGTAGTATGTAAAATAATACATATATAAAACCATAAAAATTTACTAATACCTAGAATTTTAATTCATACTTTTGATCTTTAGATAGAAAGGGAGGTAGTTCACAATTCTTAGGTCTATGTACTTCTAACAGATGCTATTGTATGGTAAGTGAAGAAGGTTTGTCTGCAAGCTAGTCACATGAACACTGATAAATTTTGTAGGTCTTTAGTTTTTAATGGATCATTTATAGGATCCTTTGGATATAAATGCTCTGTCGTTATTGCATTATCTTTTTCATTCTTCTAATTATTCGCAATGGCTAAGACTTTTCAGTATTTATTTTGGAACAAAGAAATGGTTGACTGAACTGTGTAAATTATTCTCCATAATGTAAGAGCAGTACTTAATGCTTTACAAGTAAAATATATAGCTGAAATTTTGTCACTGTCTTTTTTACTTTCCAGTTATATAAAATCAGAAGAGGTAGAACCAGGCCTCAAGCACTTTTATTTCTGTGTATGATACTTCTGCTAATTGTTCTTCATACTAGCTACATGATTTATAGTCTTGCTCCCCAGTATGTTATGTATGGAAGCCAAAATTACTTAATAGAGGTAAGTGAACTTGATTATTTTTATATTTTATAGACAGTGATCTTTAAGGCAAATTTTAGTTTTGAGGGCTAGCATATTAACTCACCATATTAAATTTAATATTGCTAAAGCTGGTTTTTTAGTCAATTTTGAGTATATTTAGATTTGTTTTATACTTTCTTTTTAATAACCCACAGAATTTCATTTTCATTCTTTCTTAAATGGATCTTGTTAGGTACTAAGTTCCTGAGCATTATCTTAGCACTTTTAAGTAATTTTAATTATACGACTTCCCCTCAAAAGTTTGGTGAGCATAGGATTTCTGTTTATTGATTCTATGAATCCCACAGGAAAGGCTGTCTGAATATTCTATTTGTAAATTACTTGACTTTCTTTCAAAATGATGGGTATCCTGATATCTGACTTCTTGATGATGTTGATCTCCTAAAAGCCAGTTGTGTTTTTTGTTTTAATTAGACAGCAAGTTTAGATTTTTTGACATTTAAATATTTTTACAATAACTGATTCAACCTTTGTTTAGTTTGTTTCTTTGTCCTAAATTACTTTCTTGCTCTATTTCCTAACAATTCAAATCATATTTGTGTTTCAAAGCCTATTTCAAGCATTGCTTTAATGGAATCTTGCATTGCTAACCTGTATTGCCCAGATTACTCCTTTTTTTATACTGTACTTCCTACATTCTTTCTTTAGTTTAACATGTAATTAGAAATGAAAAAAAAATCATAGCACATCAAACCCTCAGTTGATACCATCTATAATATTGCTAAATATTAAAAAGCTAGTTAGTTCATTGAAAATTTTTAAGTAATAATCTAGGTGAATCAGAAAGGCTTAGATCATAATGGAAGTACATGAACCACCTTTGTTTGACATCCACTGTGTTAGATCACTGAACCATTTTTTTTTTTTTACTTCTTAATGACATTTTATTCTCTTTCTGCCTTTTCCCTGTATGTAGTCTACTAAGTCATGCTTAGTAAGCATTTCTCTAGGAAAGAAGGAAGGAAAGTTATGTTTTGTGAGGACAAAAGACATTCTTTGCCTGCTTCACAAGTCTAAAATTAAGTACTCTGTTTCTTTTTAGATGCCCTATTTAAACTAGAAGTTTATTAATGACTTTATGTTTGTTCTGGGAAGCAGCTCTGTTGTTTAATACAGGACCTAAAAAAATTACTGCAAAAAGATCAGATATTAAATTTACCATAATTCTCTTTCATCTAATTGAAATTTGCATTAAATTTGCCATTTAGAATATCAAATAGATGTAATTAATGGAAAAGAGTATAAAGTTCAAACTGCGGTTACTTTTTAAAATCCAGGTATAGTTAATAATATAATATTTTCACTTTAACTATATATTCATCTTTCAGAGCAATGTAACTTCTAATGATACTAAAGGCAATACAACCATTTCTGTGCCAAAGAGATGTGATGCAGATGCCCCTGAAGGTAAACCAGATTTTTTTGAACAATCTTGTACTTTATCATTTTATTAGAGAAGACATACCTTGTGTTTTGCTGTGTTAAACATTTGATGCATCTATTTTAATGTGTGGTAACAAAGGAACTTTCAGCTAGTAGAAGATGGTAAGTGTCTTTAACAGAATTTCTTGGTGATGGAAGGATTTCCATTAAGGAATCAACCATTATCAATTAGTTACTTAGGAAGTAACAAAAGGTAGTTATTATTTTTTACATTTACTAATATAATAAGCAATTACTATTAAATTTTTTGTTGTTGTTGTTGTTGTTTTAGAAAATTCCAAGAAAGTTTTTTGGAATCTGTAAATTCTGAGACCAAAAGTACCTATGATCTGGAACAATTTTTAATCCATCCTTATCACTCTAGTTTATAGTAATAGTATTAATTATAATAGCAGTTAACTTGTAAGCACATACAGTTGTGTTTGAACACAGTATTTCACTGTTTTGACAAAATCTCTGACTTTGCTCTTAACTACTGTATATTTTAGAGAATGATTTTTTTTTCTGTTTTCCATGATTTTTTCTTTGAATATTATAATATTCAATTCTGATTACAGAATACCAATTGATTTTTTTCAAAATTTATAAAAACTTTTTCTGTTTGTCTTCAAAATGCTTTTATTTACTGGTGTCAAATATGGTATATTTATTACTCCATGTGTCAAATATAGTATATTTCTCATTCATGCATTACCATTATCAAAAACATAACTTCTGAGGTTTTATTTTAGATGGGTAAACTATATAATGTGATAGAGAGTAATAGGAGCAGTTATAGAGAACAGGGATAGCCTAAAGGAAGAAGTGAGTAGCTTTACCTGTTGGAGATTATTGTAGAGTAATAGTTAAGAATAAAATTTTCAACAGATACTAGAGCTGTATTTCAAGATGAAAGAAGAATTTATCTGGCTTATGTCAAGGTAAGGCTGTTCTATGCCAAGAAGAAAATTGCATGAACAAAATTAAATTATACAGATTTATGTTCAAGAGGGACACAAAACATTATTTTTTAATGCATTATATATACTATCATATCGTTTTTCAGTTATGAGAGTAAGTATGTGATGGAGGAATGAAATTACAGAATTAGAAACCAGATCATAAAAGATCTTAGAAAATGACTGAAGAGCTAATAAAGAGTTTTTTAAGTAAGAAAATAGAAGTTATCATCTGATTTATTTTCAGTAGGTTATTTATAATAGTTATATAAAGAAGGGATTTAAGAAATTGAGACCAGAGCATGGAAATAAGTTAAGGGTAGGGGACCTATCTCTAGTAATTCAATAAGATGGTAAAAACTTGAATTAAATATAATTCATGATGATACAAAATGATGAAAGAAATTTGTGAAATAAATTTAAAGAATTTCTGATTGCTTAGATCCAAAGTAGTGATGAAGAAAACAGATTCTAGAATGACCCTCCAGTTTCTAATTAGTTTTATAAATTTTGATATTACTACACAAGATAAAAGTTACTAAGATTAGAGAGAGATGTAAGACATGTTCAATTGACTTGAAATGTCATGGGGACATTCTGTTGGAGATTTCACAGGCAACCAGATATAAATGTAAGGGATTCAGAGGACAGAGAGTAAGAAGAGAATGGAGACTGAAACTCAGGAAATCATTTTCTAAGGGCAAGCAGATAGAGAAGGTACAGGGAAGACAGAAAAGAAGAAAAAAACTAATGGAGGTAAAACTAATTTTATTGAATAGAAAGAATAGTAGTCACAATTTATATTACTTTGTTGAAATTATTAATAGATACTTAGAGAAGGTATGCATGCCAAGTTGAATTATTGTTTTGTTTTTTAAAATTAGGAAAGACTTTAAAGTTGATGATAGATTGGAGGTAGTAGAGCAGAAGAGGTTGAAGAAAAATGTCAGCAAGGCTGATTGATAGACCAATATTATCCAATTCGGGAGAATATGGTTAAAAACGCATAGTGTGCTAGAAAGAATGAGGCACACCTCTTTCTCTAGATCACTAAGAAGGAAACAGGATAATAAGTCTTGGATAGTAAGTTTTTACACTCTGAGGGTGGCAGGAAGTGGTATTTCTTGATTAGCTATGAAATATAAGTTCATATCATCTACTGAGAATAGACTATTGAAGAAAGTGGCAAAAATTTTTGATAGTCTGTGAAGGAAAATGTATGGGTTCTAACTGAAGATAAGGTAATGATAGGTAAATATGTGAAGGGACAGAGATGAAATTATCAATTTCTATTTTTGTTGAACAAATCTGAACAACTGGTATGATTGTTATTCATACCAGTTTGGAGAAGGCATGACTTGAGGAATTGAAGTGGGATTGGGGATATAAGTATGGGAAGCAAAGTACACACTGAGGGTTAGAGCATCAGCTGACCAACCAGAGTCCAGAGGCATAGGAAATAAGGAAAGAGATCAAAACTAGAGAAAGGAGCAAAGTCAAGAGATGAGATAGAAAAATAGAGATTATTTTACCTTGTATGAAGAAATAATAGTTTAAATCTTACTAGTATGAATAAATGCTACTTAATGTTTGAATCTACTTTATTGGTGACTTTATTCCTAGATGTTTTATTATAAAATGCTATATACATCACAAATGAGGGTCAATAGTTAAAGTGCTCTGGTTATCATCTTTAGCTAAATGAACATAGAAGGAAAAATTAGTGTTGGTTTAGTTTAGTTTTGTTTTTTTAAACTAAGGGGGTAGTTACCTTGAAGATCTATTTCCCAAATTATTATAGTGGTCTTGAAATCTAGAAAAACAAATAAAAACATAGTGAGGTTTCAAGAATATATTTTACTGATAAAGGGGATTTTAAAATGTCCCTGTGTTGCTGAACTGCATGAATTAGTATATTATAGACCTTTTGTCAAATGAGACACTTGTCTATAACTTTTTTATGAATCACATTCAGTATTTTTGTTCTTTAGTCTGATCTAATTTACTGTGGTTAAAATGACTCTTTGAACTACCATTTTTCTTAAACATTTCAGTTGTCTCATCTTTTGAAATGTTACTTTACAGAACAAAAATTTACCCTTTAGGTTTATGGATTACATTTACTTTTCCTAATCCTTTTTTTTTTCTATATCACATATCTAAACATTTAACTTGCTTGTGCATGCTTGAAAGAAGATGGTAGAAATAAGGTAATTGAATTTGGGGTAGCAGGATAGTTTTTTTCTCCCAAGAGACTGTAGTTTAAATATTGATAGGGTAAGATGAAAAGGACATGATATAAGAATAGTCTGGAAGTGGCATATATGGTGAGAGACTGGTACATTTGTATCCATTTAAATGGAAACTAAGAAATTTAACAGGTAGGGAAAAAATTCAGTACTGTTATTTACGACATTTTGGTGAGAACATTTGACTAGAGTAGTATATATAATGCATAAGATATTTAATGTGATCTTTTGTAAGTAATAGAATTTTTGTTGTTTTTGTTCTGTGGTGCTGGGGATCAAAATCAGGACCTTGTACATGCTAGGCAAGTGCTCTCCCACTGAGCTGCCACCCCACCCCTTGCCCCAGCAAGTAACAATCTTAGAGAATGATTTTTAGATTTGGAAATGAAATAACAGCATGATAATATAGGTTATTTCCAAGATTGCTAGTTTCCCTGAAAAAATTTTTGGCAACAAATTCTAAAAATATGCACATTTATTTCTTCTTCATATCAGCCACATTTTAGAGACTTTTTACAGTAATATTTTATTCATGTGTGAGTTGGTCTGACATTTATTAAACATATAGAAAATACTACTAAAATTTTGAGGATTATGTTTAGAATGACAAAGTCATTTATCAAAGAATAGTTTACACTGTGTTTAAAATAATCTATTAAATAGAGTGATTTAGCAGTAATCTGTTTACTATGTTTATAAAGTTCTCTTAACGAGACAGGAATACTTAATTTATCCTGACAGGTATTCTGCGTAGTTTTTATGTTCAAAGTGAGCCAGTTGAGCAGATTCAAAGATAAGTTTTAAATTTCTTATGCAAGGGGACTTTTAGGTTTCTATTTTTATATTCTTTGATTGCTACTTAATTTAATAAGGATTAATAATAATAATAAGGATTAATAATAATAATAATAACAATAATTGATTTATATGTAGATCTGAGGAAAATACTTTAAAGTCAACAGTTATTAAAAGGAACATATATTCATAATTATGAATATTTGAGTGAATATAGGAAAATGAAAGATTAGGGTGCTCTAAAGGACAAATACAATAGGCAGTATAAGTACTGGATTAGATTTTGGAGAAAGGGAAAATGTCAGAGGAAACACATATAGAATTCTTCCCTTCAAAAAGCATATAGGCTGATAGAACTGAATCCAAAAATAAATAATTGTAATAATTGTAACGGGAAGAAAATAAATGGCAAACTATAATGAAAGTATGTAAAGGTGGAAGGAATAATGATTTATTTTGCCCAGGGGGCAGTATAACATTTTAGTTGGACTCAAAAGAATAGTTAAATCTGAATGAACAAACAAAACAACCTGAAGATATTCCAAGAAAAGGGAAAAAATGTGCATTAACAAGGCATAACGACATAAATATATTTGGCATGTTAAAATTGTGGCAGGAGCACAGATTCATTTGAAGAATATGGAGAGTGATCAAACAATACATTCCCAAATGACCAGTTTTAAAAATCCATGAACCCAAAGTCTCATTTCTGTTGTTTCATTGAATTATTTTATCTTTTCTTAAAGTAAATTTGTGTTGTCTTATTTGGACATTAAAGTTACTAGAATGCTCTCTGTGGATTAAACTTTATTTTTGTGGATTTATTCTGATTATTGTTAAAATAATACATATAAAGAGAGGAGCCTTAAAAATTATCAAATAATCCATAGGGTTAGGTTTTAACTTGAAGATATGATGTTACTAGGACAAATTGAGTGAAGTTAGTTGCTAAAATAGGAGCTGTTATGTTAAGCCAAACTAT